CAAGTATCTGATAGTGTCAGTTTGGTTTCTGTATTTGATTTATATTTTTGCAAATAGAAAGGTGCAGGAAAGAGCTAGAGGAATAAATGCAAAAGCTTTAGGAAACAGAAGCTTGTTTCTACATATGTAAATCAATCTCAGGTGCACGACCTGAAGTTCTTCCTTTATCTAACAGCAAACAACTCTTCTTAAGTGGGAGGAGCTGGCTGGGGGAGCGATGGTTTTTCACCTCCAGGACCTTTCACAAGTGCCTCCCCAGCCAGAAGCTGCCCGGGTTCAGCAGTTAAGGAGAGAGGAGGTGATGAGGGGTTGGATCATGCCCAGCCATCAACATGACAGGGTGCATGAAACATCATGTTCAAAGACACGGGTCACGTTGAAAGGAAATGGGGCTTTGTGAGAGGAGGGGCTGGGAATCACCTTGGATTTTCCCATGCATCTTCCTCCTGTGCTTCCCTTGAACTTCCTGGCATCTATGGAGGAGGGGATATCCAAGAACCTTTTCTTGGCTGGTGTCACTGTGAGAAGCTGATAGCTGAACACTTCTTATCTGGGAGAGGAAAAATGCAAAGGAAGAGGAAATGAAACAACATATCTGTAAGTGGTTAAGCATTAAGGAGCCTGTTAGGTGCCACTGAACTGAAATTAGCTCTGTTGCTATGAAAATAGTAAAGTTCTCCAAAGCAAGCTTCTTCATTTTGGTCATGCTCTGTATTCTTCCAGCCAAGCAGCACAATTTGTTTGGCATAACAATTCCTCACAGATTACTCTGCACAGTCCTTTTGGATGCTGAGAAACTGAGCAGTTCTTCATTCTCTGGTGAAGTATCCAGTGTTATCACAACGCAGTGGGCTGCAGTGATTCCTGCAATTACTCATGACTGATTTATCACTTGATTGTAGGAATTCAGTTCAAATAGATTTTTTCCCCCATCTCCCTCAGTCCCTAATTGATTTTTCTTTTTAATGCTGAATCTTTGACTTCCTCTCATAAAACAGATTAGAGTCATTATAGCTGCATGCTTTTTAATCATTCTGCTGCATAATTACTGTTGCTGCTGCTGTCTTCTGGTGTACACTGTTTCTTTATTAGCAGCCCTTATTGCCAGAAGCTTTAAACATTTAATAATCTGTCAAGGTGGTAATTTGTTGTTTTTCACTTGGAGACCTTTTAAATGATATCTTGAAGCACCTAGCCTGGTCACATGCTTAAATATTCACTTACCTCCGTCTGTTTGGTGTCATGTTATTTTTAATTACCTTTCTTCTGGATAACCAAAGTTCCCCATTCATCATAAGGGAAATGTAAGCAGGTTGCATGCAACTGTATCAGGCAGGAGCAAAACAGGCTTCCCAAACATGTTTATGAGGTTAATGGCCAAAGATAACGCACAGGCAAGCTTTCATATGCTGGCACTAGCAAAAGAGCCTTACTGCAGCCTGATCCAGCATTCACAGTAAATGCAGGCTGTAATGGTTTCCATAACCCAGAGGGGTTATACCACCATTTCTTCTTTTTAATGCATTTTGGGGTTTCCATTCAGGGTCCCTGCAGAAACACAGCCATCCTTCTCCACGATCTTCTGTAAGCATTTCCTATACAGCATGCCAGCTCTGGAGCAGCTTGCCTTCCTCAAGTACCAGGAAAAGGCAGGCAGTTCATGAGAGGCATTTTATCTCTATAAAAGGCTCTTAGATCTCAAGTCTCACTGAACTGAGCATAAGTCACAGTGCTGTGTCTCCTCAAGGAGTCCTGTGAGGCTATTCCTCAGCAGCTGGTGTGTGCATCAGCCTTCGGTCATCCCTGATGGGCAGGACTGCTGGATCATGTCATTTTAGAGCAGTGCCAGACAGCAGTGTCCTCTGGGGTCAGAGCTGTGAGCTCGCATGGAGTGCACAGCCAGGACACCCTGTCTGCCATGAGGACAAGGTGGTGGTGGTCCTGCCTCGGTGGCTGCTGCTCATCCAAAGTGCTTGCTGGAGCCAGCGTGTGCCCTGGCTCCCCACCACAGGCATAGGGACATCGCTCTGCAAGGCAGCTTTTCCTGTATCCACGAGATGATCGGGGACTGGAGAGTGTGAGGAAGGGCTGGAAGAAGTGAAGAGTTCAGCACAGATTACTGAAACTGGGGATATGGTGGCCTGTTGGTAGGTTAAAAGGCTGTGGTGGTGAGAAGATGCTCAGTTCTCCCCATCCTCAGGGGAGAGGATAAAAGGTAATGGGTTTCCCTGGACTAGAAGAAGGCTAAAAAACTTCTCAGTGGTGAAATATGGTGAAGCTTAGACACAGACCACAGGGGACCTGGTGGCATTTCAGCTGCTGGTGGTTGCCAAAGAGTGCATGAGACACAAGTCTATCAAATATAGCACAGGTATGAAGAAAGCCTCCGTTCTGGCAGGGCAGTGGGTCAGGCTGCCTCTTAATTCTCCTCCTGCTGTTGTGCATGGAAGTGCAATCCAGAGGAAACAGAAGCACTGGGATTTGCGCATGCTAAGCTGAAAGCAAAAAGAGCAAAAGTTGGGACGTGGGTTTGATGTACACAGAAAAGAGTAAAATGCAAAGGAAGGCAGCAATCATTTATGGCTGAAAAGTCAAGAATTACTCATAGAAAAGAAGATATTTAGCTATATTTCACATAACACCTTACAGATTTATATCGTCTTTATAGTTGTTAGAGAATTAGTTATTCTTTTTGGCATTCCTTCAGCTATTTTGGGGTAAGCTTTTCCACTGATGGAAACAACCATCTTCATTTCTTTTAACACCTCTTTTGTGCTTTACCTTGCCAGAGGAAACTGGTAGATATGAATTCCTGGGACTTTTCTTGTCTATGTGATAATCCAGACAGGATTTTGACAATTTCAATACAATAGCCTTCTCTCAGGAAAGCTTTGATTGCACTAAAACACACTCTGAAGTGCTAACCTCTTAACCTTCTGGAGTTCATTATTTGGACAGACAAAAAATGGGTTTAAAGTGACCTATAAGGTCTTCTTGCCAAGATATAATCTAGTTAAAATTTCCTCAAATTGAATTATGCAGACTTCATACCACGTATTGATTAAAAAAGTTCTTCTTAATGGAGTCACATAATAAGATTCCTGATACAACTTTGGCTTTTTTTCTCCTTTGATGGAGTTGGCTTTTAACAGGAACCTCGCACTATGTGTCATAAAGATGTCACCAGCTTGATGGCTTCTCAGTCAGATAATGCTTTGACCTGTGGGCCACATCCTCATTTGAGGAAAGCATAACTGCCAAATTAACCAGTCCTGTGCCACTTGTGAATAGATTTCTCATCTTGCATCAATACGAAGAAGCTGAAGACTGCTTTGAGTTATCTTCCGAAGAATTGGTGCTGTGTCCTTGATTCAAGATGCATCCTCTGCCTTTCAAAATAGAAACTTTGGTAAGTGCTGCTTTCAAATATTCTTTTTGCCAGGATTTGTAGTTCTTAATTCATTTCATTTTCAGACCGGAACAAAACCAAACAAAGGAGTGGTTAAATACATTGAAGAGACACCTTCAGCTAGGATTCATGTTTGCTATAAGGTGGGCAAGGAGTCAGGCAAGTTGAAGTCAAGAGCATCTCTGTAGTGCTGGGTAAGGAGGAGAGTCCCAACTTTACCTCTGCCTTATCTGGTTCCATCTAGGGCTTTACTCTGTGAAATCTTTGGTTTGTGGATTTGGGATCCCTACAGCTGTGGCATCCTGCAGGCCTCTGTGTCCCTGGCCTGTTCAGTCACCTCTATGGGAAGAGCAGGAAGAAGTCTGAAGCCTCAGCATTGATTAATTGCCAAACTATGTAGCAAAAGAGAGGCAAAGGAGAAATGGAATCTGGAGGCTTCTGCAGGGATGGTGTCTTAGGTCTTGCTGTGGACTTTATAGGGAAATCTGAATGCGTCCAGGAATGCTGAGTCTTTGAACTCGGACCTCCTCCGGTTACTTTGCTTTTAGAGAAGGTAGTTTCAATAGTGATATCAATTTTACGATGCTCTATGGGTCATGTGCAAAAACTGCTTAACTGAGTTGATTGAGGAGGAAGGGAATAGGTTGCTCTGTGTAAAAATAAAAGGAAAAAATATATAAAAAAGAATGCTTGTTTTTCTTAAATCTATTTGGTTTTATTTTTTAACTGCTGAAAATCCCACACAAAAACACTTCTCTTTTTCTGGTCACTGAACTGAGACCATAACTTGTCAGTAAAAATAAGAAATTAAAAATTCAATTTTCCTTTTTTTGAGATATTTTGTGCCAGACCTGAAGCTGCCAGGATTTGTTCGATTCATTGTAATTACTAGAAATGGTTCATCCATTCAGAAGCTTTCATGAGCCCCCTGGGGACTGTTAAGCTTTAATATAAGCTGTTACTCTCTTTATCGCTGATTTTTCCCTCAAATGATTTCCCCTTTTCCCTAGGTGTCTGGTTTTTGTTCCTATAGTGTTTTTTTTTCACTTGAAAAGGAAACAGCAAAGCTATGGTGTTTTGAGTCTTTTATCTGCATTCTAAGGTGCAATTCTTATATAGAACTAAGCTATTTCTTGCTCAAATTATGCTGCAGGTTTGCTACTGAACAAGCATAATCAATCAATAGTTCCTGTTTGATAGAGTAAATAAATGATGTTGTGGTATGTGATAATCTCTGAGTTTTCCCACCACCTAATAGAAGGCTCATACCGAGGTGGGAGTGTGAAAGCGGAGGAATTGACAGGCGCAGAGAAATGAACAATTAAGGTGGTGTACTGAGGTCTGTGGCAAGGCAATACGATAAGGTAGAATACGTGCCTGGCATATAAAAATCTTACGTGCTAGTTTTAAGTGTCCCAGGAGAGCTGTTGGACAGATACTGACTGCATGGAAAGCAAGAGAATCTCACAACAGCAGATTAGCTTGCTTATCCGTGGCTTAGAACTTGGAAATATGGGCAAAGAGCTCAAGAACTGTTAGGGAACAGGAACATAGGTGTATATATATATTTTTAAAGCAAATTTCTGTTTATTTCAGGAAATACATTTTGAAGCAACCCCGGTCAAAGAGGAAGAGGTCTGATATGTTGCAAGGAGCAACGTGTGGGTGTTTTCAGCAGGATGCCCTTTGGTCCTCAGCTGCAGCCTGGCTGGTAGTGGCATCAGTCATACAGGTTGTACAAGTTCCAGATTTCAGGTATCACCATTATCCAGCCACATCTGCAGTGTTCTGAGTGGCAAAAGGGCAATGAGAAGTGGGTATACTGGCAGTATCTCTTGCTTACGTTTTACAGCCATACTGTAAAGGAGCTGTGAGCAAACTGGTCTAGAGGAAGGTGTCCCTGCCCATTGCAGAGGGGTTGGAACTAGATGATCTTCAGGTCTTTTCCAACCCAAACTATGATGTGATTCTAAATAATTTCTCAGGTCAGAAGAAGCAAACACATGTAGCCAATGTAGTACACTGCCCTGCACCTCCAGTTGGGACAGAAGAGTTGCAACAGCAGATGCTTGAGCAGATATGAAAGCATTGCTAAAGAAACGGACCAAGGATCCGATTCCAATTTTGGGGTAAGTTAACATGTTTGATTTGGGATTGCTTCTTTGTTTCTTTTGTGTTTGTTTCTTCCCTTAACACCTGTAAACTGCAAACGGGATGATAGGAAAGAAACTCAGTTGTGAATCATAAATAGGATTATTGACTAAATACCAGTTGTAGGACCTACACCACCGATGTGTGAGCCGGAAAACACATCTCGACTGTACAATTCTGTTTCTATTTTCCAAGAAGAAGCAGTTTAAAAAATCATTATCAGTTGCATCCGAGTTGATCGTGTTTGATTGGGAAGGCACTGGGATGCAATAAACAGGAAACCCCAGGGTGCCATTTTACTAAGACAGCTTTCAGAGACGAGCCACGGTTTCTGCTGCAAGGCGCTGTTGATTTACATGGATTTTCTTGTCACATGTTTTGGCAAAATGTATCAGCTTGTGCTTCTTAACACCAACAAATAATACTTGACTTGCAAACGAGCTGCTTGGCAAGTACCCAGCCACAGGAGGCTTGGAAGCTTGACTGAATAAAGAAGACTTCCATTTTCATCTCACCAGTTTGTGAACTGGCGCTACCCCTGCTATGGTCATCTGCAGCCGCTCTCTGATCTTTGCTCTTGATTCTTTGACATTGAAGCTGTTCACCCTGTTAGATTTCACCACGTTCCAAGCAATGGAAATGAAACCTTTATTTTTTCAATGTTCATGTAAATGCCTTAAAGGGATCTCAAGCTCATTTATGCTCTCGTATTTGGAATTCATCTTTTCTACCTTGTGACATTGGTATCTTTTCCCTCACTACGCAGGGCTTTCCAAATGTTCACCTTTTAAAGGAAAAAAAAATAGGAGCTTACTTTGTATTTTTTTCTGCACAGCCTTCTTGTTCATAATGAGCTTAAATAGAAGGAACATAAACCCCTCTGGAAATCAAATTATGCACTAGGTTCACTAAAAAAAGTAATTACGTTATAATCAAACTGTCACTTTATGAGCTAGTAGGAGATGAAATACACCATAAGCTGACAAAAGAAGAGGATGGCTTGCTTGTTTAAATATCATTCACGGCACAAAGCAGTGGAGAAACTCTGAAATACACACAGCATAATCAGGAAAGCTCTCGGAGATGGGGACCACAGCACTGGAACCAGTGAGACAGATAAGCTTTCTTCTTTCTAACCTTCAGTTATATGCAGCCCAATGTGTGTTCGGGCTATCCATGTCAGCAGACTGACAGCCCAAGTGTGTTTGGACACAGGGTAGGAAACACTTGTCTCATGATCAGCAAATAAACTGAATACATGCATTGTGTTTTGCATGGACTTCCAGTCTCTGCAGCTGTGGCAGTTCTTGAATCATTGTCCTTGTTTGCTTCATTTGTGCCACCAAGCTGTCAGCCCCTTTCAACCAAGGCTGACTCACATCCCAGGTTAAACATGCAAGTGAACTGGGGAAAGCTGAATGTGTGAGGGGTTGTATTTGTTCATGTCTTGCCAACTCTTGTGGCCCTTTCCATTTGCATTGCCTTAATTGGAAGGGAAATGCCTTAGTTTGAGGGGAAATACACGTTCTTGCTTAGGCACGGAGTAGACCAGCAGCGTTTGGGCAGGAGGGGTTTTCACTAGTCCTCCAGGCCCTTGTTGTGTGGGCTTTTGTTAAGTAAAGTCCTTTTTCCACCCTGATCTAATTTCTTTGAGATTTGAGGCCGTTCCCTGCATTCTATTCTCTGCCAGCAATGGATCCTTTACATAGACACTCCAGCGATGAATTGTGATGCTTGAGAGCAGGCTGGTGGCAAGTGGTGGGCATGCATGGGGAGAGGGAAGGGAGCTGGTGATGTGCTTTTACATTCCAGCCTTGCCTTTCTAGCAGGGCCCACAGACGAGGCAAGCAGGCAGCTGCAAGTTTATTCTCAAGGATGGACCAAAGCTGGTGGAAGTCTGGCACCAGAACAGCTCCTGCTGCCAGTAATGCATCTAATGAAAGAGAAATTGGTTTTCTTTTGGGGCTTTCCTTCTGCTCACTTAAAAAAGAATCAGGAACATGAATGGGTTGAACTTGGTGTCTCTGTACTCTGGTTCTGTTTCTATTCTGGAGATACAAAGGGTGACATGCCAGGAGGTCCATCCCGTGGAAGTGGCACAGCTGATACCTTTATTCAGTGTCTTGCTTTCTCTTTTCATTCTATGAATACAGCGACAGAGCAGCACAGCATGCTGTGCTGGCCGTGCGCGTGTTGTTTTCTATAGACAGTGGGTAAGTGTATTCGTGCCACATATCTATCTGGCAGGGTACTGTGAGCCTCAGGGAAACAGAAGCCGGGGGAGCCCACTGGAGACTTCCCAATAGTACAGCTTGGTTTTGCAAGTTTAAATCTCCAATTTGGTCAAGTACCAGTAACTTTCTTTTTTCAAAGAAAACTGGAGACGTTCCCATTCCAGGAACATGAACACGAAATGAAGCTTCATCAAAAAGAAGTAATAATAAAACCTTGTCCAAATGCCTGTGTAACTGTAGTCTGTTTTGACAGAAGTACCTTTTGTCAGAAACAGCTTTTGACAGCAGCTCTCTCCCTAGATAAAAGTAGCATCTTGAAAGCCACTGTTTTTAACTTGTCATTGAATCTCATCACAAGCAACCCCTCCCATGGACTGGTGGACTACTGCTGAGCTCTAAGTTGTGTATTGAAAGCCTCGTGAGCTTAAATTTAGCATCATACCCATTTCGTGTTATGCTTCTGTTGCTGGCAACAGACTTGGTTAAAATGCTACAGTTTTCCTCTCATTAAATTCATGTTTCTGAAACCACTTTTATAACGTAAGATGTGTGAAACATCTTCAATTACAAAAGAAAAAAAACCCAAACAAACCTCAGACCAAAACAGACAAACAAAAGGGTTTTCACGACAGAAAACGCAAGTAATGTTTTCTTGGCTTTGGTTGTGCAAACACTTTCATGAGGCTACTGTGCCCTGTTAGGCATAACGAGGCTATTTCATATAATCATAGAATAGTTAGGGTTGGAAAGGACCTTCAGCTCATCTAGTTCCAACCCCCCTGCCACTGCACCTATCACAATGCCTTGGATAGTCTCACTGTCCACATTGTTGTTCTGTTGCAAGGATGAGGGCAAGGATGCTGGTTCACCTCCGTACCCGTCTCGCTGCACACAGGAAGACTCCCTGCTCCAGTCTCAAAGTTGCAGCAGAGCCGTGGGTGGAATCTGTGCTCCCTGGTGGATTTGAATCCTGAAGGAATGTGAAGGGATTAGCACGTGCAACTTGTATTCACTCTCTTGGGAGCCAACTGCCTTTCTGGCTGTCCTCAGACTGACCTCGAGCTGCAACAGGTGATGCAAAAAAGGCTTCTAAAGAGATCAAATGGTGCTCTCTTGGTACAAGAAATCTGTTTAAACAGCTGGCGCTTGAGTTGTGAGTCTGCCTGTGGTGTAGGTAAACTTCACTGATTCCCCAGGGAAACCTGAGATGGAGAAGGGGTATAATACCCCTCTTTCAGAAAAGAAACAAACCCATTGGATCTAGTATTGCTTAACCCTAGCAGAGGAAGTCGTAAGGCTTTTACTTTTGCTCTAACCAAAGTGTACCTAACACAGCTATTTTTACAAAGCTAGCAAGCAGCTCTGGAGATAGTGTCAAGAACTGATAATACACTGTACTCCCTGCCTTTTGCCTTCGCCTAAACTAATCATTGGTAGGGTCCCATAAGCAACTAAATCTTTCTGCTATTGAATCCTCTTTGCCCTATGAAGATCATAGCAATGCCATAATTTAGCTCAGATAGATGTGACACCATAAGGCTAAATACTATATTTTACCTTCCTGCAGCAGCTGCTGCCGAGTGACCTAACACTGTGCATGATAAAGAGGAAAACACAAATTGCACCTTAGAAGTGATGGGTTTGGGGTCTTTTTGTAAGTGGAGTCATGGAGGTGTGTAAAGACAAAATGACCCAGCTGGGCCTGGAGCAATGTTCTCGGGATGTAGGATCACAGTTACGGATGACAGTAGGTGACATAGCTGATTCAGCCTGCAAATAAGGGTGGCATAAATGACCCTGGTAGGTTCATGACATTGAGTGTATCTAGGGAGTCTCCACACAAGTTACAAAATCTGGCTTGACTCTTTTAGTTCCTTTTCTTTTTCATTTGTCCATGTTCCCCTCTTCCCCCCTGCCATGTTGCTTCCTTCAGCTACAGCACTGAGTGGAAAACAGATAGTTATTTACGAGCTGATCTGTTAAGATCTCTTCAGGGCCTGATGATTTTTCCTGATCCTGAAAGGAAAAGGGATATTAAAGCTTTGTGTTGCTTCTCTGCAGGGGCCAGGGCACAAAGTCTCTGGCACAGCTTGACCCTGGGGTATAAGGGCTAGACTTGCCCAAAATGTCCTAACAGAGAGGGATTATTTTCTATTTGCTGGATGCATTTGCTCCATACTTTTGGAGGTGCTATAGGGCCCTCAGTTGTCACCAAAATCCTCCTTTCTGAAACGGCTGAGCATCTCTGTCTCTTTGGATCATGCTGCTCTTCCTTTCCCTCTCCACCCCAATGCCAAGATGCATCATATGGGCAATATGACTCTGAAACTGTTCTACTGTCCATTCTCCTTCCAAGAACCCATATGAAGAGTGGTGAAGCTGATAACTTATGTAGCTTCTTTCTTTTTTTTTAGCTTCTTCAAGCATGCTGAGCCTGAGGAAAATTAATATCACACTTCTTATAAACCTGTCCTTGTTGCTGATGCAAACCCTCTTAAAAGCATGTCAAAACAACATGCTTAGGTGTGGCAATTTGCTAAAAAGTAATGGTGTCAGAAAACAGGACCAACTCATATGAAAACTTGCAGGAAAAAGAGCTTTGGCTAGTTGCAAACTCGAGATTTTAAATAGAATATCAGCTCAGAGGTGAGTGATGAGTTTTTACAGTGGAGAAATCAGAGATGGAGGTTTTTAGGAATCAATCTCTGATACATTAAAAAGGAAAACCCCAATTCGTGCCTGCA